CAGAATCTCCTCTTGGGAAGAAAACTAAAGATGGAGATCACTTTGAAATGCAAGAGACCTCTCCTTCAAACACACCCTGCAGGCCTGGCAGCAGGACACTCAGCCCTAAGGCAGAGCTAGAAGGAGGGAGGCAGACCCATCCCTTAGAACTTGGGGGTGGGGTGGCAGAGCTGTTAAAAAAAAAAAGGGATGGGCTGTGGACCCAACCGCCAGAATCCCTGTCTTCTGCCATGTCATCTGGAGTTAGGATGAGAGATGAGTTCAAATCCCACCCAGAGTTGGCAACTGTTAACAGGTGGAACAGTGTAGGGCTAAACACATACACCACAGTCTCTTGGTCCCCAAGTGATGGTTTCACAGGTGCATGACAGGGCAAAGTAGGGCTACCAGGGCATTGTGAGGTAGTGGTGTTAACAGCCTGCCACAGGCATCCCCTATCCTGTTGTGCCAAACATGCAACTCTGTAGGGAGACAAAAAGCCACTCATCAGGGCCCTAAGAGAAGGACTGAGAGCCCCGAAAGGCCATGCTGCCCTGGAAGAAGTCAGAAAGCCAAAAGTCTACAGCCCTGTTCAGAATGTAGCTGCTCACAAGTGGGTTATAATATCCATCTAGAGCAAGCAACTCATCCATTTAGAGCAATTCATCCTTCTAGAGCAGTTTAGCCACCTAGAGCAATTCATCCTTCTAGAGCAATTCATCCATTTAGAGCAATTCATCCTTCTAGAGCAATTCAGCCATCTAAAGCATTTCATCCTTCTAGAGCAATTCAGCCACCCAGAGCAATTGAGCCATCTAGAGTAATTCGTCCATATGGAACAATTAATTCATCCTTCTAGAGCAATTGAGCCACCTAGAGCAATGAAGCAAAATAGAAAGTGTCAGCTGTATTATTTTATAAAGCAAAAATCTGTGTGTGTGCTGAGTTGAAAATCTGCCTTTCTTGTGGGTTGTTCTCTGTGGGACAGTTAAGCAGTGATACACAGGGACCAAAGCTGAATGGAAAGTGACTTCCTCCCTTCATCATTTTGCTGCCTTGATGGTGACCATACAGCTTACCCCTAGCCAAGTAGAATGAGTTGGAGTTTGTTAAAAGTGGGTTTTAGTTTGTGTGGGGTGGTGTTTGTACATATGCACGCAGCGGCTAGTGGTTAACACTGGTGTCCTTACCCAAGCATACCACACCTTATTATTTGAGAAAGGGATTCTCACTGAACTAGGAGCTCACTGCTTAGGCTGGACTAGCTGGCCAGTGAGCCATAAGGATCTATCAATTGTTTCTACTTCTTCAGCGGTGTGGTTACAGAACCACTGTGTTCACTCTTGTGAGTGCTGGGGATCCAAACTCAGGTCATCATGCTTTCACAGCAAGTACTCTGACCACTAAGCCATTTTCCCAGCACATAAAGCTAATTTTTAACTGAAAAAAAAAAGTAGCAAAAACATTCCAACAGAGTAAAAGAACATGTGACCCCCCTTACCTTCTCCCAGAACCCCTTTCCTGAAGTCACCCTCCATAAATTTTCTGTGCAAATTAAGCACATATGTATTTCTTCCTCCATCTAAAAATGCAAACACATTCTGGCCACAGGACAAGAAAAAAAAAATCAAGCTGGTACTGACAAAGAGGCTTCCCAATGGCTTGCTTTCAGAGCACTGGAAGGTGCCATCTATGCAGGCTGCTTGACAAGAGAAGTCATCAATAGTCCTATGGACATTTTGAGTGACAATAATGACATGCATGGCAAGGCATGCCCATGGATGCAATAGTCAATGAATGTCATGGGAGAACCAAATGCTCTCTTGATTGGATTTAAATCCTGACCGAGAACCCAAGTTTGGGGAGCTCCTAGGCCTCAGGGGTGAACCTACTCTACTGTCTTATTAAATGAATTTCACTTCTCTAAACTCACAGTTGCCTGCAGCTCTCAGACCTCATTAGAGAAGGCTCTTTGTGCAGGAGATGGCAGTGAACCCAGAGATTCACAACCGGTCAAAGTGCAGACAGTGAGCAACTGTGGAGTGCTCAGCCACAAACTGGACATCTACAGCATCCCCTCCCCACAAGGCTCTGGAAGCATGCTGAAGTGGGGGCAGGCAGACTGGAAAAGCCTGAATCTGGGAAAGAATGGATCACAAATGTCATTTGGACATGACAGAACCAGTGCACTCATAACATCACAGCAGCTGTGGTTGTCTGCACACAATCAAGGCAGTCAACAATCCAGCATGACTCACCAGGGTCCACCCCAGCTGCGGAGCTATGGATATCTGATGGCTCATATGGGAAAGAGAGAATTTTCTTTAAGGGTTTGACACCTATTAAACTGACCATGCTTCAGTGAAGGACCACACATCCATGCGTATATGGGTAGCAAAAATGGGACTTGGTGGGGTAAAAAAAGGAGAGAGGACATGAGTTTGGGAGGGAATGTGGCATAATCTGAAAGAAGCTAGGGGAGGAGTGGAAGGTGACTGATAAAACCCATTTTATGCACGTATGAAATTTTCAGAAATGAAAACACTATGCTAAAAAGCCAACAGGAAGGCCATGTGCAATGCTTCTTTTCCATAACACATATCGCAACACAGGACGTGCTACTTCAATTTTCTACACCAAGGAATAGCATGATGGATATTCTTGGTTGCCAACTTGACTACACCTGGAATGAACGAAAATCTAAATGGCTGTGCACACCTGTGAGGGGTTTATTTTTTTCTTAATTAAATCATTTAAGTGGGAGGACCCACTTTTAATCCTGATCTTTGAGGTGAGAAGATCCACCTTTAGTCCAGATCTTATGAGGTGGAAGGATCCATCCACCTTCCCCCTGGACCACACCTTCTGCTGGCTGCCTAAATAGGACATAGAAAAAGGAAGCTTGCTCTTTCTCTGCCTGCATGCTCTCACTCTTGCTAGCAAGTTCAAACCTTCACTGGAATGAGAACCTACTCCTTCAGGATTCTGGCATATACTGAAGACCAGATGAGATATCCAGCCTCATGGACTGAACAGCTACTGCATTTTGGACCTTTGGTTGGACTAGCTGAATCACAGCCTGTAAGCCAGTGGTTCCCAACCCTTCTAATGCTGTGACCCTTTAATATAGTTCTTCATGTTGTGGTAACTCACAACCAAAAAATATTTCACTGCTACTTCATAACTGTAATTTTGTTACTGTTATGAATCATGATATAAATATCTGATATGTGACCCCTATGAAAGAGTTCAGTTTGAGAAACTGACACTGCTGTAAACCATTCTTATCAATCCCCTCCCCTCTTCTGTTCCTCTAGAAAACCCTGACTTATACCCATAGCATTCTATTATATGTAAAACTGTAATTTTTTTGGCCCATTCTGATGCGTTATACCCAGTCTTCCACTTAGAAACAAAAATTCAGGGACATATTGTTCACCAATTTGTGTCCTCATGTACTGATTCTTAGAAGTGGGATCCTTGGGTCAAATGGTCTGTGCCTTTTGAGTTTTGATGCTGAGCAATTTCTTTCTATTGATGGTAGATCAAAAATATTCATGCCATTCTGTTGTCTGGACATTGGGGCAAGGTTTACTCTGCCCTCCCGGTGCCAGATTGGATCCATTACTGTCAACAAGCTCCTTGGTCACATCATGATATTACACTGTTGCCTTGTTCTTTCTTCAAACACTGTTTGGACTGGACTATTTGTGTGTCAGGGGCAGAACATTTGCCTTGCATGTGTTGGGGCCTTGGCTTGATCCATAGCATTGCAACTGGAAAAACAAACACCTATGACATACAGACTTCATCGGCATTACAGAGTAACTTCTTGAGTATAGTTACTGTCAAAAGCTTGGCTCCATGAATGTCATGACAAATGATCGGGCTTCACTGAGGACAGGGTGGGAATGGAGACATGCATAATTGCATGTTACCCCACAGCCAGAGCCTCAGGGTGGTTGGGAGCACCTCTGTTTGGGTCATCTCTATGAAAAACTGACATTGACACCTGGGTGGCAATGGATTAGACTGCCCTCATCGCCCTGCCTCTGTTGACTTGTTCTTGCCAGCCCTTAGGTGTGGAGCCAATTCATGCTTCATAAAAAAAGTACTTACCTTTTTTTGGAATACTGAATAGGTATTTGGTTTCAAAAAATATGACCTATTATAATGCTAATAACTGTCAATTGGTGTTTGGAGCATACACCAGAGAAAGGTAATGATTCATTGTGAGTGAATTCTTGACTGCTAACCTAATAGCAATGAGGACATTCTGAGGATGGAACCTGCTTAACTTCACATGAAACCTAGAGCAAGGGGTTCTGACATTACTTTGTTTTTTCCCATAGTGTTTCCTAAGGTTAAACAACACACTGAGGCATCTCCACAAGTCAGACTGTGGCCACTGTGTTGTGCTCCCAAAAGGGAGTCTGTACCCCGAATCTGACTTCACAATACACCCGAGAAAGAGGCATTGTGGTCACAATGAAACCACCACAGTCAAGGGCAAGCGTGAGACACAACAGACTTCTCCCCCTAAAGAACACTCCCGGTGAAAGTTCATGCAGCATGGAAGCCTCCATCAGCTGCTGCCTATCCATGGGGACTTGACGCTGAAACCCTGTGCTGCTAAACCCGGTGACTCCTGACCAGTGCGTATTCTCAGGAGCTCAGTAAAAAGGGAAGGCTCTATAAAACACGCACCTAACAAAGTATGTCAGCAGCTTGAACGGAGCAGGCCTGTCCAGATAGGAGAGCCCTAATAAATAAGCGAAGCGCAACATTTATTGCCAACAATCGTGTCACAGGCCCACAGAAAACTGGAGCCGTGCAGCTGGGAGAGGAGGAATCTGCAGCCAGAGAAGGCCATGGAACGTGCCCAGGCACAATTATTTACGGTGTGCAGATGAAGAGACAACCTTCCATATGAGGAACAGTTCAGCAGAGGAGGGTGGGCTAAACCAGGATGAGATCCAGAGAGCCAGCGAGCGCAACGAAAGGGACATGAATAAAAATGACAAGCAATAAAACAGTACAAATCAAAAATGCTGTAACTTTCAGAGATAATTTAGGGCCAAAAGAAGAAGCGGGAAAAATCTGGCTTTGGGACAATTTTCTGAGAAGCAAAGACATTAAGCAAAATGAAAGTGCTGAGTTGAAGACACAATTTACCTTGATGCCATCCTAGCTATGTGCTTGGTGTTTTATTAACAACAACAAAAAAAATTGCAATTTTGCATTTAGCTGATGACATTCTTTGTTGTTGTTCACCTAGTAATAATCTGTGTGCTACTCCCTGTATAGATGGGGCTCCAGGATGACAAAGGGTTATCTCTGTCCTCAAGAGGCTAGTGGTCTTAACCCAGCTTCTGGATGATGTGTGCATACGACAGCAGCTTCACCGAGGGAGAGCAGAGGAGCAGTTGCAGGAGAAAGATGCAGATCTGGAATGCCAGCCTCCACAAATGCATTTTTTATACACAGATGTGCATTCCTCTGTAGTTTCAGACATTGCAATATGCATTCAAGGGCTATCTGGGCCATTTTTAATGATTTTTATATGCTATGATGAACCTCCTTCAAACCTAACCCAAAGCATAATAAATACCATCCACCTGCTGCTTTATGCTTCAAGAACTCTTCCTAGTCACTTCTCAAGGTGGGATGGTCACTGATACTTTAGAGAGAGGCTGGAGCCCTAGAAAGAGACTTCTCTCTAAGTCACTGGGAATAAGTGGCAGAGTACTTTCTTCCCCTGACCCCTGTATGTGCTCTGTGGGAGAACAAGCTGGAACTGTGCCAGGATCCAAGGGCTGCTCTCCCAAGCTTACTAGCTCAGTGACTCCCTCTTCTAACAAGGGCCCTCTTCTCCTGTTCTCTGGAAGCACTGATTTAAAGGGCTAGAAGCCCTTTACTTTGGATGGCACCAGGACAGTTTGCACTGTTACACAGGTGTACTTCTACAGGGTGGAATCTGAAGGAGTCCTTACACACAGGTCCTTCAAGTCTTCACTCTTCAAAGGCAATGGGACTTGAACCCAGGAGCCTGCATTCTACCAGTGAGCTATGTCCCCAGGCCAAAGAGTTTTCTCATAGATGCTCAGCAGCTCCTCTCTTCTACTATTCCCTCCATGGCATGAATCAGTGTCCTGATGACATGCTTCTAAATTTAGTCAGCAACTCCAGCCACTGCCCTGAAAGACATTATAGAAGGAAATTTGGAGCTAAGAATACCTTCTGGTCACCTCTGTTCTCTTCTCCATCTCAGCTTGGCACCTATTTACAGAGACTGTCTATCTCTTACTATACCAAGGGCTTGTGGCTGAGTGTGTGTGTGTGGGGAGGTCCCTACAAACAAACTGCCATCCAACTTTGCTCTACCTGCTGGGTGTGCACCAACCAGAATGGCCATTTTGCCCTTGGCCAGCTGGCCAGCTTTTCTGAAACCCTGTTCTGTACCCAATGACTGGATGGTCTATGAATCATTTCAAAGTTTGATTTCAAATACTAGTCTTGGTCGATCACAGGTTTTATAATCTTTAAAATAAATCCAAAAACTAGCAAATTCATTGAGTTGTAGAGGCAGACTATTTCATCACTAATGGAGGGGGGGTCTAAAAACAGCAAGCACTTGCTGGCTGCTGTGATCTCTTTGAAGCCAAGTTGAGAGTGATCAATGGATAGACTATAGCAAGATACTTTAGAGAATCTAAACCAACCCTCTTTGTCATATTAGAAACCTTCTCTCCTTCCTGCACTGCTGCAAGCCACAAGGTACCTATGAACAACTACACATTGAAAAAGGTGATGTAAGGTACAGTAGTTTATCTATCAAAGTTTCCTTCTTCCTTCCTGGTAGCCTTCTCAAGCCCATGCCAGGCAAACAAAACAGGTCTGGCCACATGCGCAGAGCTCTCGTGGGATGGCAGCAGGCTTGAGGCGATGAGTGCTCAGACCCCACTTCCCAGAAAATGACTCACAGACAGGATGGCCAGAAACTTCAAATGGCAACTTTTGTGATTCAAGGTAATTGCCCAGGAATTTAAGATGCCATCACTTACTCTTGACTTTCAAAGAGACTCTAGGCTTTAAAGGCACAGTTGTATCTAAAATTGATCAGCTAGCGACAAGCCTCTGAAGTTCCTGAGAGGGAGAGAGAGCAGGAGGCACCAGCCACATCTGGTCTGCACCATGTAGTTCACTTTCCAGGTTGTAAATTTTCAGGTCTCAAAGACTTCCTGAAAATAACTTTCTACCATGCAAGTAGATTTTTTTTATTAGTTGAAGTATCCATTTTTCTATTATTTTGAGATGGAACACTAGAAGACTTGCTGGCTACTCTTCAAAGAGCTGCACATTTAAGAAAACAGCAAAATTATCAAAAAAATGTGTCTTGAAAACACAGATTTTAAATCATGGTGGAAAAAAACATTAAAAAGATTGTTCTAGAGCATATCCAAATAAACAGAGACTAATAAATATGAACATTTAACATGTAACTATATACTATAATTGGGACTACATTCCACAGTTGCAGAATTAACTGTTGATAAATATAATCAAACAGTATTAAAATAAGAGGACACATGTATACATACACTGAAACACACACCCTCTCTCACAGACATCCAAAAACGTGCTATTGAAAACAAGTCTTCTCTCCATTTCAATTTCCTAATTTTAATATTTTTATTTATTATTAAATAAAGTCTATAATATTAGAGAATGCATGGAATTTTAAAGTGAGACTACATATGTTAGAAAAATGCATCCAGGGCACATATTTTATTTCTTAAGAAAATAAAACTACCCAGAAAAATTACCTCTGTACACTGGTGTTGGCCCTGGAGTGCTGGATCCTTACAATTAAAATACTAACAGAAACAGGGTGACAGAAAGGTGGTGTGAGGTCTCTTCAGCTGGGTGGCCTCGGTGTCACTGCCTTACTTCACTGAGGAATTCAGGAGCTCCCTGGTTAGAGATGGCCCCCAGGATAGCCCAGAGTCTGGCGGGGTCCTCACAGTTGTGCTGGCGTACCCAGTGGAGAAGCAGGTCTTCCTTCCTCCCCAGCATCTTGGCACAGAGCAGGCAGTTAAAGCCTGAATGGGACCAGAGAAGCTTGGTGGGGTGCTGTGGGCTGCTCATTCCCCACTGGCCACCTTCACTTCCTGCCTGTGCTTCCTCCCTGTTCTGATGACAGGGTGGTTGCCTTTTCACTTTAGGACATGCTAGGGAGTCCTCCACAGAGGCCCAGGGCTTTGCCTGCTTCCTTCTCTCAGGGTGCTGCTTCTGGTGGGGAAGCCCCACTCTGCTGCCTGGTAAGATTACCTCCTGAAGCCGGCCTTGGATCTCTTCCCCGTGAACATGAAGCAAATGGAACTTTATTTCAGCAAAAGACTGAGCAGTGATTTGACAACGGGCACATCTGATTTGCAACTTGACTTTACCTGCCTGGTTTAGAAGGAAATCTTCTTCCAAACTTGACTTGGTTTCCCTGGAAAGGGGGAAATAGTCTAGGTAAGATTTCCCAGGAAAATGCAACTGGATCTCTTGCTGTCAGGTCTTGGCCTCTGGGGATATAAAGCACCCTGCTAAGGAAAGTTCTGCAAAGCCGAAGCAGAGGCCACAGCAAGCTGCCGCCCCTAGGGACAGACATCTTTGAGGCCATTAGGGACCAAGAGTCCTGTATTTCCCCCTAGTGAACCACCTCCCTGGTTACTACGGGTGCAGTCAACATGAAGATTAGGTAATATGATAGGAGCTGCAAAGGTACACCGTGGCACTGCCGGAGACGACTGTCCCACACCATCCATGCCACCCCCATCACATTGGCAGTTTGATATCTTATTTCAAGATGATCTGAGGACATGAAAGCAGTGCAAAGGGGCGTTCTTATTAGTGGGAAGCACATGAGTAGACGGAATAAACTGCTGGAGATGAGGAAAGGCGAAAGACAAGAAAAAGCTAGGGCAGGCATCTTGTTTTTATCCACTATGATAAGGAACTGGGACAGTAAAAAACAAGCAGAGAACCTAAGGTGTTGGGCAGGGTATCCTTCTCACCCCTCAGTCACCTCATTTGTGGACATTGGCCACACTACAGGCACTTCCCTGGTCATTATTCCTCAATTGCTTGCCTTGTCAGTGTCCAAATAATGGAGATTATTGTTGTTTTTAATGATGCCAAGGAGCAGTGCTTACAAAACCAAAGGACACAGGAAAACTTAATCTGTCCTGACAGGTAACAAGGGGCACATGTAGAGGTGGAGTACCTTGGGGTCTGGTGAAGGGGGTGGCCTCACAAAGTGTTGAGAGATAGATAAAGCTGTTTAGATAAGAATTCTATGAATAATAATTTTGGGGAAGCTATTTTATAAAGACTACTAAAAACTATATATGGTAATATATTTTAATTTTTAGATGCAAAAATAATCTGTCACTCAACTGTCCCCAGCATACTCAAACTGGCATGCATGCCTTAACTTACACAAGTTTGAGTAATTAAACATTGTGACTTAGCAGAAACCAACAAAAAGTGGGTTAATACTTCAGAGAAGGGTGGGTGGGACAAGGTAGCTTATTTTACCTTGTAACATCTTTTGTTGTTGCTATTTTGGGACAGGGTCTCACACAGCCCAGGCTGACCTTGAACCCCTGACCTCACTGTCTGGATCTGCCAAGTGCTGGGACTGTAGGTGTGCGCCACCACTCTTGACATGCTTTGAAACCTCACTCCTCTTAAATCTCAACAGCCTGTCTTGCCAGGCTTCCCTTCTATGAGTGCTCACCTCTCCAGTGGGCCATCCGGTCTCTGCACATAGGTATCTCTGTCCTTGTTCCTTGATGTGTCTCCTGGCTGCTGTTCACTGGAGGAGGGCTCTGTGCTGATCACAACCCTGTGTACCTCCTTCAGATGGCCAAAATAGACTCGAACATGACCAAACACTTTTGCACAAAACTCACAGCACACTAGTTTCCTGGGACGATTCTCACCATGGTGAAGTTTCATATGCGCACTCAAGCTGCCAGGACGGACATAGGCCTTTCGACAGATCCCACAACTGTAAGGCCGTCTGTTAGTGTGTGTATTCATGTGGTCCAGAAGGTGGTGTTTGAATTGGAAGTGGTGGTTACAGATGGGACACATGTGCCAGGGCTTCTTAATGCCAGAGAATCCGTTTCTGAGCCCAGAGCTGAACTTTGGGGCAGGGCTGTCACTCTGCTTGGAGACAAGGCATTTCGGAGGCAGTGCATTATTCAGCAGAGCATCCTGACCTAAGCTGCTGGGAGCCTGGGACTGCAGTGCAGCTGCAGGGGATTCCAGGGGTGCTAAAGCAGACATGACGATGACAGGCTTGGGCATGATGCTACGATACTTTCTCGAAGTAGCCTTGGGCTTCTGGTCTCTGGGTTCTTGGGGACTGTTTCTTCCCCTTTCCACACCATCTCCACACATACCAATAATGTATTTCCTCCTTTTGCCCTGCAATGCTAAAATCTCATCTGGCACTTTCCATTTTCTTCCTTTTCTCTTTACTGCCCCACTGCTTGGTTTTACTTTGTGGCTGAGATCTAATTTAGTGACAGGACTGAAGGCACTTTCACAAGCATTCTGCTTGGACCCATGCAGAGCAGTTACCTTGCTGGGCATCGTGGTGGCTGCATCAAACCTTTCTGTGATGGGCAGTCTCTCATCACAGTTGGCCCTGCATCCAGATGAAGACAGTTTGGCATTATCAACATCTGATTCCACTTTGCCCACCTCTGTAGCTATCACTCTTGAAAAGGGCAGGATGGGCAGTTTACCCTTTGGTACTAATGAGACCAACTGAACCACACTGCTAAAGACAGTGTGTGCAGGAGCCACCCGGTCTTTAAGCTCTTCACCAGCAACAGCAGGCTTAGTGGGCACCTCCTTCCTGGTACAGTCTGCCTTCTGCATGATTGCTGGGAGGCTCTGTGGGGAAGAGGAATCCTCTGTAGCACATGCTGGGATGGTAGGAAGCTTCAGGTCTCCACAGCTGCTGGTTACTAGAGGATTTGAATCTCCTTGGCCAATACTATTGGTCAGTGTAGTTGTCTTGATGGTGGAGGAAGAGTTTAAAGTGGGCATTTGTTTCAATGGGCTGGTCTTGTGAGGCGGTTCAGGATGGGCTTGTGGGGAAGGGGATATTTGGCATGTCTGGACTGGGCCAGGACGTTCATTCCAGCTACTCTTGCGAGGGCTCAAATCCTGTTTCTTTCTTAACCCTTTGTTACTTGGTGGTTGGTATCGAGGAATAGGCAGTTTAAGGTTTTCATGCAGGGACATTCTTGGCTTCTGAATTGGCTGAGTTGAGGCAACATTCGGTAAAGCAAAAAGAGAAAACGTGCCCTCCTGGCCAGCCACCTGCATCAAAGCATAGTTCTGGGTGGGTATGCCCAGAGGCTTGGAGGAGAGAGCCAGACTCCGTTGGTCAGAAAGTGAGGAAGGACAGGGTAGCACTCTGGATGTTAAGACTTTAGGCACAATTTTTGGTGCAATGGTCCTAAACTGACTCTTATTCTGTAAGCTTTTTCCACTCTGCGCTGTTCCAGAAGGGATGTTTGATTCATCTGTAATGACAATACACAGATTACTACAGTGCAACTGTCCTGGTACTGAAACTTCAAATCACATCTGATCTGGGATAGAGACCTGGCTCAGCAGTTAACAGGATATACTGCTCTTGAAAAGGACATGAGTTCATTTCCCTGCATGCACCCATGTTGTGTGGCTCACACCTGCCTTCCAGTGGCAGGGGATCCATGTCCTCTTCTGGCTTGAACTCATGTGTATATACCCACACCCACAATATATGTAATTAGAAAAATCTAATTTTTATGTTCAGACCAGATTCCTTAGCCTGTCCCCATCTTCCTAAGCAACTGTCTATGTCCTTCAAGACAATGTTTACAGGTCACCTGCCCTACATTCCCAAGGACTGTAATTCTCCTCCAATGTTGCAGCATAATTCTCCTGTTAGAATGGCAGCCATTAAACAAAACTCCCAGAGAGCTGGGACTCTGTCCTGGTCTCTGTGCTCTGTAAGTCCTTCATCCAGCCTCTGTCTTACCCATTTTGACCCATCTTCCCAAACCAGAGCAATCCCGAGTCCCTTTCTGATCTCCAAAGCTGCAAAGTATCTTCTCTGGAATATTCTACAGTCACTTCTGTTTGATATACATGCCTTGCTTTCCCAGAACAACTCAGCCTCATGAAGGTGAGACATACCAAGTTTATCTCTTATCACCCACTGCATCTTTGGTCTGAAACAAATGCTTTTTGCATCAACTGGCTTTCCACTCTGGTTTAGGCTGCACCATTTGGTGTTAGCAGTCCAGTCTGCTTTGCAAAGTGATGAATTCCAGACTGAAGGTGGCTTTGGTGCTGTTTTCTGTGTGACTTATGAAATTTCTTCTCACACCTTTCAAACTGTTTATGTATGCTTTTGCAATTAAATCATCAGCATTAAAAAAAAAACTGATGTGACACTTTAAAAAATGTTAAACATAACCAAAGAGACACAGGGTGATAAAGGTACAGAGCTGAAGAGGGGGAAAACAAAACAAAACAAAACATGAATCACACAAAAAGCACCTCCTAGGATATGAATAGGGACAATTTTAATGGACAGAATAACGTTCCATTCATCCCAGATTTATTGGCCTGACCACAGAGCAATTACTACAAACTTAAGAGAACAATTAAGGAAACATTTTAGCTCCCCATTCTAGGGACTGAATCATCCATTTTACTCCCAAGGAGTCAAGGTCACAAGGCCTGGCTGTGGAGAAGTTTCTTTTTTTTAAGTGCCTCATATTAATCAAACTTCATGTAGGCTCACATATACTAGTTGCACGAACTCGTGCTTTCTGAAAGTTATGGGGCTACATGAGGGTTGGAGTTTACTTTTACATCTTAGGAAAGTAGTAAGTGGGACTCTCTCTCTCTCTCTCTCTCTCTCTCTCTCTCTCTCTCTCTCCAAATGTTACATAAGACCCAGCAGAATCTGCAGGTCGTCCATAATTAAACCCACTGCCACACTTGCAGCAAAGTACTTTCGAATTCACAACACAGCAGGCAAATAAAGTTCTGAATGGTTTTATTTCAGTCCAGCAGCTTGCCTCTGAATGACTTAGGTACCCAATTTATGATTTTAGATTTTGGAGCTTCCTGTAAAGGGTTTTAGAAAGTTGTTTGCAGGATACAGGACAGGAATGTGGGGAGCTAAAAATCCATTGAAACACAGAGTAAAAATCTTTAAAATCAGCCCTTATAGACTGCCCACAGTTAGTGAACCAACAATTTGAGCAGAAAGTTGCCTGTTAACACTACGGTAATAAGCAACATAGTAGCGATAATTTGAAAAGTACGACAATTTAAAAAGTTCTTTAATATTTGCTTAAGAAAAAGGATGTCCTGTGTGGTCGCACAGCACTAGGAAGCAGAGGCACGCAGATCTCGGAGCTTGAGGCCTGATGGGGGATTGTCCTTCTGTATGCTGTGAATATATGTTTCTCTTATTAGTTGATGGATAAATGCTAATTGGCCAGTAGCCAGGCAGAAGTATAGGTGTGGCTACCAGACAAGGAGAATGCTGGGAAGAGAAAGGGAGAGAGAGAGAGAGAGAGAGAGAGAGAGAGAGAGAGAGAGAGAGAGAGAGAGAGACACAGAGACACAGAGAGAGACACAGAGAGAGACAGAGAAAGCAGTCACAGAGACACTATGTAGCTTCTGGGAAGATAGGATGCCCGGCATTCTCCGGCAAGCCAAGACCATGTGGAAATACTTAGATTAATAGAAATGGGTTAATAATTAAGAGAGAGCTAGCCAATAAGAAGCCGGAACCATAAGCCAAACAGTTTATAATTAATATAAGCTTCTGTGTGTTTATTTGGGAGTAAGGGCTGCAGGACCATACAGGAAAAGAAACTCCATCTATAGAGTCCAGCCAGAGCTACATAGCAAACCCTGGGGTGTGGGGGGGTGTTAGGAAACACATGCTACTTGCATTAGAATAAGGAGGCCACTTCACACAGTAGTTCAGTAGCTGCATTAGAGTGAGGAAGGCAGTCATACAACAGCTGCATTAGAGTGAGGAAAGTGCTGTGTTAGAGGATGTTGGGAAACATTTCCCATCCTTTAAACCAGAGGAGAGGTGGGACTAGACACCAAAGGAAATGTTAATGGGAACAGTACATTAGGCTACTGGGGTTAAACTGAAGTAGTCAGAGCAGCAAAGAAGAAACCGTAAGAAACATACACACAGAGGAACGAGTGTGAAGGGAAGAGAGGGTTGAGAAGAGACACAGACACGAGAGTTGACTTTCAGAGGCAGGGCACAAAGCCATCAACCAATTAAAAGCAACCAATAGCCAGGGTTGAGGTTTGCCTGAAGGTGTCCAGAGAATGAAGTTTGGAAAAGAGTCCTTACTTTTATGACAAGGTATTAGAAAGCAAGTTTCTGAGAGGCTGGGTTTCAGAAATGAAACCTGATACAGCCATACCAAATGGGAGTGAACTATGACACACTTAACTTGATCCATTGCTCTCCAGCTATCTCCCCAACATGGTGGAGACAAAATTGCACAGGAAAAGCAGTGACTTCAGGGGGAAAGGAGGCTGTGTTGACTTTAGAGTTATCTAGGAGATGGCTTCTGAGTATGTCTTGAGAGCTTTCTGAAGAGGTTTAATTAAGGGGGCAGACCCACATGGAGTGGGCTGGGGTGCTGGCTAAATGAAAAGGATGAAGGAGTAAGAAAGCTGGGCATCAGCATTGATCTTGCTCTGCTTCCTGACTGTGGCTGCAATGTGACCCCAGTCATCGCATACTGCTACCACCACTCTTTCCCTGACATGTAACATGCCCTCAAGCCTCAACGCAACATACACCCTGCTCCCTCCTTGCCCTGCCTTCAAGTTTCTTTTGCCAGGTATTTTGTCATAGCAGTCCAGAGAGGCCGAGTGTGGATGAGAACAAAGGCCATTCATTCCTGGAGGTACCCAGCTCTGCCCCAGCAAGGGCAGACTCTGATCATCACAGTGAGCAGTGTGGGCAGCCTGAATGGCAGGCCTAGGTGATAGGCAAGTGGTAGCCAGTGGAGCCCAATGTTGGGGATGAAAAGCCTATCAGTTGGCTCACGCTCATTAATCACAGCTACTCACATCTGTGGGATGAAGAGCAAGCCTTGCCAAGGATATTGAAATTAGGTGTGCTGATATGCATCTATCAGGAAGTACATATAAAGATGGAGTTTCTCATAAGTGTGCTATGGTGTTCCATTGCCCAGAATCACTAACGATAGGAAATGAAACTGGTGCATTAGTGGAAAAGTAAGGCAAAAGTACACAACCCCAAAATTGGAGGGAAGAAAGAGCAGACCCCAGAAACTAGTTAAATGCCTAACAGGAAGCTAATGATAATCCAACACGGTATTTTGTAGCTGTAAAGGAAATGACAAACTGATTCAGAATACTCTCAGAAGTTTTTTATGGGACAATATCCTGTCACTTAGATTCTGAACTCTGGGATTACACATGCAAATCTATCTTTGTTGGGTGGGGAGAGCTAAGGGAATAAGAAGAAGCTTACCATTCACTTGACACCTTGTCTTGCTCTAGGGAGGTACTCAAAAGTAATCTGCTCAGTGAGTGAGACACTTTACCTAGATTTATCTATTGAGTATGCAGGCATGTGCATCCCATGGTAAGCGTGTGCAGGTCTGAGGACAACTTGCAAGGATGGGTCTTTCCTTCCATGACAAGGGGCCTAGGGACTGAACTCAGGTTGTTAGGCTTGGTGGTAGGTGCCGATACCCACTGAATCATCTCACTGTCCCCATTTGGTATATGAATAGGATTCTGCAAGTGAGATCTTTTGGGCTAGTTGTGAGTGTGTGCTTCTGCACAAATGACTACATCTAAACACATAGAACAGTTCATGCCCTTTATTTTCTTTGACAGAATTGATGACCAGAGAGGTAATTTAGTAACCCGACGGGTAGCACATCACTGTCTCTTGAAGCTATGAGAACTCATCTCTCCGCAAGGACAAGCAGGGACCTGGGACTTGTTCCTCCAAATGTATGCATAAAAGTCAGTTATGCTAGAATAACTACTACAGTTTTAAAATTTATTTTTTGAACAGCAGGACTCCTTAGAGATGAAGTGCCATTACATGTTTTTAAACTCTAAAAAGTGCTAGCAAAGCACAACTGTGGCTAGTCTCTCTTGGCAACACAGCCACAACAGCAGTTGACTGCACTACACTTGTAGACCTGTTGCAGATGGCACAGTCTAAAGCCCTTCGCCCGCACTACCAAATCCCAGATCTTAAAGAGCTGTGCACTGAATAACAAGAAGGAGAAATTTCCACTGGCACTTATAATTTCTTAAAATCACACAAAATTAGCCATAACAGAGTTAAAAAAAGACTCACAGGACCCTCAGGTACTAAACATGGGCTTTTATTAACCAAAAGCATAAAAAGGCTCACTCAGTAAAATTAATTTTGTACAATTATTCAAAGAGAATACTTAATATTAGAACTTTAAGTGTGGGCTGTTTTAGTATT